ATCATGCCCCGTGTTTGGGCTGAGCTTACTTGGCCGAGATGGTCGCCTGCCAACCCGGGTTCCATGGTTCACACGTTTGGAACGGCACCTTCAATACCCAAAACTCCACCTGCTTGATCACGGATCCGGCTTTGACCGGTAAAATTATCTTTCCCATAGGCCACTCCGGTTGCGAGTTGAAACCAACCAGTGGCGAGGTTGCTGGAGCCAAGTCTATATCCCGGAGTTTGAGTTGCTTGAACGCATCGTAGTATATAATCTCAACCGAGCTTCCTTGGTCAATCAAGATGCGTTTGACATCGAATTCTCTAGGGCGTCGTTGTGTGGCGTTTGAATGTGCTCTAGGTCCCTAGTTGAGAAACTAATCACGTCTTTCTCCTCAGTCTTCCCTTTTTGACCGCGGGCTGGACTGACAAAACTTCCCTCATATGTTCCGCCTTTTTGATCATTCCTCGGTGCTTGCACACACGCACCGGCTCCACTATGCCGTGGATCACATTGACCACTCCTTGAGGGGGTGCCTCTAAGTCATCCAAACCTTTCGGATCAGCCGGGGTAGGATGCGCGGCTTTGACGCCCCCATTAATGTAAAGGTCTAAGTGATCGGCGGCGACTAACTCCTCCAAATGTTGTTTCAAAGGTAAACAGTCCTCTGTCCGGTGTCCTCGCTCCCTATGATAAGTGTAGCGGTACCACGGATTGAAGCCCTTTTGCGCATCGCCCAACTTAGCAGGAAACCGGACGTAATCCTCGTCACGGATTTCACTAAGTATGCGATAGATTGGAATTTTGAATACCGTGGTGATGCCCGTCCGGGCATTCAACCTTCTATTGGCATCAGCTGCGTCATCGAGGGGATATTCTGCTCGGTCATAGCGGCGACCTCTACCCCAGTTTCGATGATTTGTTCCACGATTAGATTCTCCAGTGCGATCATTCGGACAATTTGTCTCCTGTCTGACCGCGTGTACCTTGCCAGCCACCCTTTTGTCCGTTACCACCGGATTTGTCTTCACAGTGGATGCCGCCGCATCATCCTCTACGCGGAGGTGCTCATTGATGCGCTGCATTAGTTGCCCCATCGACGTCGGCTGGTTCATTGTAAGCGAGTCTCTCAGCCTATGCCTGACTGGAAGACCGCGCTTATATTGGGTGATTGTCAGGTTAATTGGGCAAATCTAGGATTTCGTTGAAGGTTTCCCAGTACCTAGAGTTGTATGCCTTGAGGGTGTCACTTGACTCCATCTTGACACTTAGAAGATGGTCCACTTCCTTTGGTGCTTTGGTGTTGGTTTTGAAACGAGTCACGAATGCTTCCGCCAACTGCTGCCACCTCTCAATGCTCTCCTCCGGGAGTCTCTCAAACCATTTCAAGCCCAGTTCACCCAAGCTGAGTGGAAAAATAAGGCACATAAGATCATCATTACGCCTGTGTCCGGCCATGACCTGCCGAAAGTGGCTTACATGCATGTACAGATCGCTCTTGCCGTCATAAAGTGTAAACTTGGGCTGGTGAAAGCCTGCTGGGAGCGGCGTGGTTTCTATTTCAAGGGAGAAGAGGGAGGCGTTCAGCCTCGCCAAGTTGGTGTCCAAAGGAACTAGGACGGTCAAACAGGGTGGCGGCATTATAACCTCCTCACTATGGTGACCTCCATAAGATAACCGCTGGAATGCCGGCACCCTTTCGGCCTCCCATCGGCGAGCTCGCTCCTTCAGTACATCCCTCAAGTCCTCTGAACGGACGGAGTAAGAATCCCGAAGTGGTCGATGGACGTGAGGGATGGTAGGTACTATCTTGCGCGCTAGACTTCTCTGCAGGCGTGTCTAGATCTCCACCCCTATAGCTTCTGGTGATAGAAAGGGAGGGAGTGCGCCACTGGCTTTGGCTGCCAGAATGGCAGGGTTGGGTGCGGTCACTGTGGTCTACCACTCCAGTAACACCCTTCCATTTGACCTGGCGTTTGAGAGCTTCCATCTTTGCCGCCATTCTCTGGATGTCGATGTCTTGGTCCCTTAACTTATGCTCCAGACGTCGAGCATGCGATTCTCTTTGCCGTCGGTGCCCGTCTGGGCTCCGTGAGCGACCAAAACTTCTAGCGTGCTTATCTCGTGCATCTCTCGGAAGTCCTCCTGGGGAAGTTTCTAGGTCCGCCATGTTCGGAATGGTGGGGAGTCCGTCTCTCCGTCTCGCTGACTCCGGGGTTACACCGTCAATGGCAAACAACGGTATTTCATCATTGTTCGCCATGGAAGGCGATCAGATGAGCTCGGAGGACAAGGTTTTGTCTGCAAAAATGAATTGCCACAGACGGTGCCAATTGTACGGGGAAAAGATATTTGTTGCTGTCTGTACTCCTTTCGTCCAAGCTCTGAATCTATCTAATCGACCTGAGAACACAACGGCGGTGTGTTGTTGGAAAACCGCTCCGACGGTCAAGTTAACACACACTTAGAGAGAGAGAGAGAGAAATTCAATCAATGTCAAATTGTATCTCACCAAATGATGTTCTATCCCCAGCATGGGGGCGCAGTCATGCTTATATACTTTTTGCGCTCAGCTCTGCACCCATTAGTCTGTTGACACGTGGAGCTGCTCTCCCATCTGTCAGCACAAATCCAGCTAACACCACCTAACCAAACCGCCAAACAACGTTAGCGGGAACTAGGCAGCTCGGCGGCATCACCTCGGCCTCATATGACCGTGTTACATAACGAGTTCGAGGGCTCTGCTCGCCGAGCTCCATCACAACCGAGCTTAGTAGCATTCCGGCAGAGTCGAGTTCAAGACAGGTTGAGCCGGTAAACAGAAGGCCTTCTCGCCAAGCTAAACGTGTGAACCATACCTGGGTTGGCAGGCGACCATCTCGGCCAAGTAAGCTCGGCCCAAACACAGGGCATGATCCTTGACCAAGCAAAACCGCCTCTGGAGAAGCCAAAATAGCTCGGTCCAAACATGGTCCTGAGCCTCGACCGAGCAAAACTGCCTCCGGACAAGCCCATGTTAGCTCGGCCCAAATACGCTCGGACATCACCTGCCCAGCCTCTACAACGGCCCAAACCGGCTTATGAATCTCTCTCTCAGTTACATTTAGAAAAAGTACACTAAGGAATTTTTAGTTTTTTTGGAATGTCACATCATATCCGTTATGTTTGAGTGTCACGTTAATACATGTCACATTAGAGTGTCATATCATTCCTGTCATATTAATAAAAAGGGTATAACCGTTTACCAAAACACTACCAAAATTGAAAATAGGACCACACCAAAAGAAATTCTCTACTAATAAAACTTAACAGATCAATGAAAACATTCAAAGATAAACTACTAATAGGTCCTAATAGTTAGACTTAATTCCCATCAAGCGTTATTGAAAATAAGTCTTGGCCAAATTGTCGCTAAAAATAATTTTTTTGTGACAATTTTTTAAATACATTGCTAAAAATTGACAATTAGTGACTTTTTTTTGTTATGATTTTTATAAATTGTCACTAAAACTTACAATTAGTGACTTTTTTTATGACAAATTTTTTTATAAGATCTATTAGATAATAAGTGCACTTATTGGAACCTACACGTAAGTACTCCAAAATTTAAAACTAATTAGAGTATTTATTTGTGAGATGAAATTTAAATTGATAAATTTCTCAACAAATTTTTAATTATTTAATTTTTTTAATATAATATATAATATATTTAAAAATTTTGAATCCGCCCCATCCGATTCAACCCCATATGGCCGTTTAAAAATCCGTTCAAACCGGTAATCTGGACCAAACCAGGCTGAATTATACGGTTTGGTTCGGTTCTATTTAGAATTGGTTCAGTTTCGATTCAAGAAATATTGAGAACCGTAAAAACGGTTCAGTTAATAAATTTTACGAAAAAATCACAATTCAAACCGAACCGAACCAAGCCGAGCCGAGCCGAACTAAATTTTAAAATATATATATACTAGAGATAACCCGTGCCTGAAGGCACTGACAACAATTTTTTTGATATCACGTGCTACGAAACTTAGTGGTAATAATTCAATTCAAAATGATAATATTACTCAGATTTAAAGATTCACCTATAAGAAACTGAAATTGTTTCTACACATTGAATTAGCGAAAACATTTATAAATTTCAAATAGCAAATTTTAAAATTAAAGTCCAAAAAATGAATTATATATTTTAATGTAACATAAGCAAAGAATCTAGAAATATTTGCTAAACTTAAAGTCCAAATAGCAAATTTTAGGTTTTTATCCACGTCAAAATAACACATATATACACTATAGCAAGTTAGAATGGGATAACCTTAAATAAAAAAAAACATTAGTGAATTAGTATTGTTTTTGCTTTATCAAATTTCAATGCCCTCAAATAAAGGTCAATGAACATTTTGATACAAAACAATCATCCTAGCTAACCCAAAAAATAAATAAATAAATAAATAAATAAATAAATAAATAAATCATTTTGTTTAGAATAAGAGAGCCAAACAACGACACACATGTAGAAGCAACGTAACCCAACGTTTCTAATATGGATCAGTCACCTACAATAAAATCACTCATTTAAATTCGCTTTAAAATGCCAATAGCTATGAAAAATTACATCAAAATACATATGAGAAATCGGAAGAAATTGTAATGAAGAATAATTGCATCAAAAGAAACTGTAACATAAAAAATTGCATCAAAATACATATGAGAAATACAAAAATCAATAACTATGAATTAAGAAGAATTAAACATACCTATTTTGGTCAACTGAATTATGTCATTCAATGATGAAGTGAGAATAGACATATGTATCCATTACTAAAGTAAACAAATGAATAGAAAAGCAAATAAATCATACAAACCGCCAAATAGAATTAAACTCAAATTTTGTAAGGGGAGCGAATAATTAAACTCAAATTTTATTAAGACTAAGAGTCTTGTTATAAGGAAGAAGAATTTTTGAAAGTTGTAAAATCAAACAGAATTAAATTTTAAAACAATTAAAGCTTACCTTGTGTGAAGATCCTTTTTTAGATGATCATGCTCCTTTGAATTTCTATCCCTATGATAATGCATATCTCATTTTCTAGTTGAAACATTATGTATAACAATTAGTAGGCAACAAAAAAAGAATCAAACTTGAAATCAATGTTAATGGACAAATCTAACTAAAATTAAACCTAAGGTTCATTAAATAAAATTAACTATACTATTTTTAAACAAAGATCACAACCAAATACTTATAAAAGATATTTACCACAATTGAAAAATGAAAGAAAGAATGAAACTGAATGAAACGAAACAGTTAGAAGAAGAATGAGAAAAACATAATTAATACTCCAAATGATATAAATACAATAGTTACATAGGGGAACTAAATTAAACAAAATAAAGATAGGTTTCCAAAAATCAATACATGAAAATTGATTTTAGAAACTCATTTAGAAACCCATTACAATAATTGCGTTGGTTCATTTATCATTTTCATATTTTTTAAATCAAAACCATTTAGAAACACATTTAAATCTAACCCATTTTAAAAAATCATTACATGAAGATAAGTTTCTGAAATCTAAACCATTTCAAAAAATCATTACATGAAATTCACGGCTTTTCCTCACCTCATACCCAACACCAACTTTGCCTCAAACCAATTAATTGACCTGCCTACTAAAAAAAAGAAAAGAAAAAGGGATTAGTTAGTTTGTATGCTTTGTAGGTGATTGATAACATGCTAGTTATTAAGTGAGGATAGAGAAAAGTGAAAAAATAAAACTTTATTGTAAACACACGCAATAAAACTTAAGAATATAAAACTTTATTGATAGCCCGTGCCTGAAGGCAGGCCCAATAAAACTTAAGAATATAAAACTTTATTAATAGCCCGTGCCTGAAGGCACGCCCAATAAAACTTAAGAATTATTTTAATTTTATTATAGACAAAAACCAAAGTGTAAGCTTCACATCAACACTGAAGTGTAAATCGCCTGCTAAACAAAGCACACAAACCAAAGCTATTGTACACAGGTTAACGCTTTATAATCCAAAAAAAAAAATAATTACTAAACACCAGATAAAGCACACCAGCAAGTGTTTTGCAATCCCACAAAAATTAAAATTAAACACCAAACAATGCACACCAACTAATACTCTGCAATATAAAAATATTAAAATTAAAATGGACACCAACCAATACTCTGCAATTCAAAAAAACTAAAATTAAAATGCACATTAGTTAGTGCTCTACAATCTCACCAAACAATGTACACCTCCTAGTGCTACTATTGCCAATCACATTTTAACAGTCCTTTGCAAATTATAAACCCGAAATATAGTGAGAAAAATAGAGAAAAAAAAATGCACTGCTATAATTTTTTTAACCACAAAGCACTCCCATAGAAAGACCGCTTAAATGGTGAAATTTACTCTCTATAAAAATAAAAATAAAAAATCCCTAAAAAATAGCCAAATTAAAAGGATTCGAAAAGAATAAGTCAGATGGATTAAAGCCATTTTGAAATAAAAAATAACTAATGTTTGGCTATTTCCAAATCACGTCACATAGTAAGCAATGAACTTTCTAACTGCTAAAAAATATGTTAATTCTTGTGGTACCTGCTCCCATGTTCTTCACCTTTTTTCCTCATCTACTTTTACTATCTTCTCTAATGCACTTGATAAAAAATAAGCACACATATTTTCTCTTACCAATTGAATCATATTTTGAAAAAAATGAGCTCACATGTAGGAAGAACAATGGGACAACAAAAGCAATACACTATGATTTTGTTAGCTTTTATTTCAATGGGGATTAAAACAAATGTGATAGAGACGGGGAAGGGAAAAAAATGTTTGCAATTTATAGTTTCTTTGTAAATAAAATGGATATAAATCAAAAACCCAAATAAATTCAAAAGAAAGAAATATTAAGGAGAGAAGAGGAGGAGAGGGGTGGAGGGAAAAAAAAAGTACAAAATACCAAAAGACCCAATACGTAATAGACCCAAAAAAAATAAATTTTCTACAATTTTGAGTAATGAAACAGATATAATAAAAAACAAAAAAATCGCTTAGAGTTTATACCTTCGATTATATCGAAAACCCATAAATTGATGACCTACAACAAAAAGACACAACACAACATGAAAATGGCAGAAAGAAACAAACTGAAATTTGGGAACACTAATTATTAAAGGAAGAAAGGCACTCCCATATATACTTTAAATGGAAAAATATTAACAAAGAAATTGAAATTGTTTCCTAAAAAATGGTCAAAGTAAAAGGCTTCCAGAGCCATCCAATAGATAATTTACTTGTGACTAAAGCCATTCCCAAATATATTCTAATCCAAACTTAAACCAATGCCTTATAGATAGAGTGTAACTTTATGGTAACTACTACATAAAAGAACAATTCAATCCAATAAAACATAGCCCAAGAAATATAATTCTGACAAAACAAAATTCTCAGACCAACCTCAATGTAAAATGCAACTACTCGCAAGTCTTCTTATTAGTCCCAGCAATAATATGTCCCAGAAAAACCACCACTCTTCAGGCTATCAAATATCAATACAATTTACCCATTAAAAATCAGCATATGTATTGATTAAAAATCAGCATCCAATTGCGCATGTAGTGACAAAAACCCAATAGACTTCATGTGTAAAATAATGACAAAAAGAGAGGGCTAACCAAACCAAAAACAGAACGCTGGTTTAAAAAAAAAATTTAAAAAAAAAAGTGACAAAAACCCAATAGGCTTTATGTAATTAATGACATTTAGAATTGACACTCCGTTTGGAGGGTGAGAAAGGAAAAGAAATGATTGTGATATCTCATTTATGAGAAAAAAATAGATTTTCACTATCAAGAGAGGGGGATATGAGTGGAATTTTTATCTTTCTTCGGGCAATCTTGTAACCAATCAACTTGTTTCTCACTAAATCTCATCACTCTAGGTAAAAATATGATCTTGTTTCTCACTAAATCCCATCACTTTTGGTAAAAATGAAACAGACTTGCTTTGGTTCATGAATTTTGAGAAGGGATTTGAAAAGAGAGAGGAAAGATGTCTGAAATGTAATTATATTTTTCTCACATTTCACTAATCTTTTCCCTTTTTCATTTCCAAATCTCCAAACACAACCTTAGTAAACAAATTCTCTTTCTCACCATTTCTCACTCAATTTATAAACAATTGATAAATTGAAAATGAGAAAAGAGTTCACTTTTGCATCATTTCTCACCAAACCACCCCATCCAAACGTAGTGTGAGACAACTTGTGACCTGACATTTTTCTGGGCAGCAGAGTGATTCAACCAGCCATCATATTGGCATGGCCAAAGACAAAACTTGGGAAACTTGAATAGTGTAGGCCATAGCCCTTGACCAACAGTTTCATCTTGACAAAATGCACAAAAATAATCAAATCAAATTTTCTGTCTTTCTTTCCTCATTATGTTATTTTCGTGAAGGTGAAGTTATGGTCCAGTAGGAAGCAAATGATAGCATGACAAAGTAAATGCATGGAAATTACCAGTATATGTCTCCCAAGGGTAAATGATTCCATTGTCGTCCATGTCAAAAAAGGCCACATGTTGTTGAAGAACACTCAACCCATAATTCTTATGGCCTGGTGTTCCATTTGGATGGTCTGTATCCGGAGCAGCCAATGCTCTTGCCAAATCTGAATTCATGAATGCCAAAGAGACACATTAGTAGCATAAAGGTGGAGGCTTTTTGAGACTTCATTAGCACCAAGATAAGTGGGTGAGATGTAAATAAGATATAGTATTCATTTTACTTTTTACACACATTTTCTCCTTTTCATTTTAAATTCTTACCCAAATACCCAAATACATGATATAAATGTAGCCTAATGACACATATTACACATTTGATTCAAGTGTTTGGGTAGGAATTTTTTTAAAAAAATAATGTGTTTGATTCACGAATTTGTGTAGAAATTTAGAAAAAGAGAGGAAAGAGATAGGTTAAATAGGAATAAAATGTAGTTAAATTTTACTTACATTTTTCCTGTTCTTTCCAAATAGCTACAACCAAACACAGTCTAAAATTTTAATTTGGTGCAATTACACCCTCACGCTTAACCACTAATTATTTTTGTAGCCACTTTTGAGTTTTGTGATTACAAAGACAACCCAAACTTTATCTTGGACAACCAAACTGCAATTATTGTGAACCTAAAAAAATCAATCTAAAATCACAAAACAATGAGCTTCCAAACCAAACCATCAGTATAACCGTTTATTCTTTACTCTCAAAAGTGAGAAGAAAATGTTTCAGTTAAGTGGCTCTCAAAAGTACAACCCAATAACCCAAATGCTAGGCTAATACAAAAAATGCAAATGTATTGACTGACAAAATGTCAGAGACCAAAAAAAAGAAAAGAAAGATTAATGGTGAGGTTTCTTGGTGCCTTATGCTAGTGACCATAGAAATTGAATGTCAACCACAAACCAAATTGATCCTCACTGTATTTCCCTCCCCCACACTACACAGTCACACACGATTCTCTATTTTTCCCTTATCAATTATCTCTTACCATAGGAATACCAATGACAGAAAATTAAAAATTCAATAAAAGTGAAGCACACCAACTAATGTAATCCAAAAAAAGTGCACCAACTAATAAAAACCCAAAGATATCAAAATTAGCAACCAACAAAAGTGAAGAAGAAAGGAAATACAAATTAATGGAAACCAAATCTTTTCAACATAAATGTCCATAATCACAGAATTAGACCAGAATAATTAAAAAAATCTATATATAAAATTGCTTGGTGTATGCACAAAGACGCACGCTTTGATAATATTGAAGCATATGATTCTTGGTGCCTTACCTTGATAAAATTACTTTGATAATATGCACTATTTTAATTGAGGCATTTTACAGAACATGGTGTATGCACAAAGACGCACAAAATAGGCACAATACCTACAATGAAATTCTCAGGTTTAAATAGAGATGAGGGAGGTAGAAGAGAGACCAAACCAAAAATTCTCATTGTTTGTGCCACAACAACCTAACAAATTCCCAAAAACGACAATCAACAAAAAATTAAGAAGAAATATACTAAACCCAGGTCATTAAAACTCAAATCACACTAAACTCATATCATAAAAACCTTGGACATGCCAAAAAAATTGTAATTAGCTTACTTGCAAAGCCTACCACGCCTAATCTTCTTAGACACCTCACATGACACCTTCGCTTTCTCGATGTTCTCTGCCCCGAGAAAATTTCTGTGTAGCTCTCCCAAACACACACGGTAAAAGAAACCCTAAGCTTGAATTGAAGCCATCGAAACCATCACATACTGAGACGGAGAGGAAGTTTTAATTTTGAAATCAAAGATGTGAGAAAGAATGGAGGACGGCTGGAAATGAGAGTCTGAGGTGTGTTTGGTACTCTTTTCATGGGCGGGAAACCAAAGCATTGAGAACTACACATTTTGGTTAACAACACATTTTGACCATCTGATCTCGAGTCAAGAATCATCTCAGCCGTTAATGAATGCCACGTAGGACAAAAATATATGAAAGATTCAAAAACCTTCTTGCCATATTATATAGATATATAAAATAAATAAACAACAGTGTTAATCCGAACCATGTACACCCGTCCCCATCGACAAATAGAAACTCTCAAATTTATTGAAAAAAAAAAGTTAACACGTTTGATTCAGACGCCGCTTTCTCCAAAATCACAACTCCTGCTTTCAAGCCTTTCTCCCAAATGCCATTTGTTGAGAAACAAGAAAACAAAACCAAAAAAAAAAAAAAAAAACAAACACCATGTGGAGGAGAAGACTCACTGCTCAGCCCCACTGATTCACCGCCGCCGGCCTCTCCTCTTCGCCATCTTCGTCGTCGTTCCGACCATCAGTCACTCTCTTCTCTGCTTTTGGTTCCGCTACAAAGGTAGGTCTGTATATATGCTGTTGTTTTGTTAATTCTTAGCTCCTTTTACGGTTCTTCTTGTTATAATCAATCTGCTTCAAATGATTGATTTGATTTGTGAACCTTGTTTGTTTGTTTGTTTACTTGCAATTTGTGTGTGAATGGGTCTGCTCAGTTTTAGGCAAAATTTGAAATGAGTTCGTTGCTTTTTATTTTTATCGCCATGTTAGATAGGTGAAGGTTTGTTACTATATTCAATGTCTTGTGTGATTGTAGATTAGTTCATCATTGAAGTTATTTTCAGTGAAATAGGCTTATAATTGAGTTCAAATTTGGTAAATGAGATAGCATCTGCTGTATATGTGAAGTGGCGGAGCTAGATTTTTGGCTCAGAAGGGGTGACATTGAGTTTAAATCTTAGCAATATTCAAAATCTTTCATTTGGTGGTAGGACTAAAAATCAGCGTGATGCCAAAGTTATAATTAGAGATATGGTCAAGTAAGTCGAATTTTTATGTTTTTTTTTTTTTTTGGTTATTAATTTAATTTTGCATGATGATCATCATGATTTAAAAACCAATGCCTTCATAAAAAATGAGAACAAAATTATATCAACATGCACATACATACACAAAAAGAGAGGTATGGAGTAAGACATGAGAGAGAAAGTAGGCAAACAATATAAGGTACATACACAAAAAGAGAGGTATAGAGAAAGACATGAGAGAGAAAGTGGGGAAATAATATAAAATTTATAAGAGAAGATTTTAACATAATCAAACATTTAAAGTGACAAATTGAATGGATTTTGTTAAAAAAAGAAAAACAAAAAAAGTGGAGTTATAAAAATTAGGTACATACTTGAAACTTCAAATGGAAATTACATTTATATCTCTAATAAGAAAATGTGGCTATAGGCTCAAGTTGCTAGTTGGGTCACTATTGCGGCTCTTACTTGATAAATGCTTTTGGCACAGTTTGAGCCATTACCCCATTTGTTGAACTGCTTCTTATCCTTGAATTTGACCAGTGTCGGAGTCTCAACCGCAACTGTCGCATTATCGAAGCCCTTGGTCCTGACGTGCCTCTACCCCTATTTACGTTCTTTTTTTTGCTTCTAAAATCAAAACATAAGGTGAAAATATAAAGAGATTGCATGAAATTAATTTGTGCAAGTGTGGATTCACTAGCCTCAAGTGGTGACTTGGAAGCAAACTAGTCTTCTACGTGTAGGTTTATTAGGAATTTAATTGCTGTAGGGAGGAATAAAACCCAAAAAAAAAAAAAAGGAAAAAGAAAAAGGAAAAGATATGGAGACCAAAGTTGTTGATCCTGTATCGGACAAGGTACTGTTTTTTTCACTGGGGTACATATTGGTACTGGAGTATATTTATTAAAAATATTGCCAAATACTAGATAATTATAGCATAACATAAACAAGTTCTCATATTTTGAAAGGACTTATAAAACAACTAAAAGCTTAAAACACAAATTTCAAACCAAACCAAACCAAGCCAAGCCAAGCTAAGCCAAGCCTTAAGTCCCATCAAATGGGGACAGCTACATGAATCCTTCTTCTCCACTTGACTCTATCAAAGGTCATTTCATTAGTCAAATTAAGTAGATTCATATCTCTATTTACTACCATAGACCATGCCAATCTAGATCTATCTCGTCCCCTAATACTTCCGTCTACCATCACTGCATCGCATCTCTTCACTATTATCTCTATTGGTCTTCATTGTATATGACCAAGCCATCTCAATTTATTCTCTCTCAACTTATCTTCTATTGATGCTACTCCTACACATTCTCGAATATACTCATTCATAATTCTGTCTTTCCTAGTCTCGTCACACATCCACCTTAGTATCTTCATCTTAGCAACACTCATCTTATCTATATGTTATTTCCTTAAAACACAAATTCCATATACCTTAAAATGATTTAAAATACAAACCCATTGTCTAGTACATAAACACAATGAAAAACATAATTAAACTCTCTTTTAAAAACAAAGGTTAATTATAGCATGGATGGATGACAACCAGCCACTGTTAGTGGCATTGTATGAGCACCAACCACCAAGCCACCGTGCATTCCCAGAAGAGTGAAAAAAAAAACTTAACAAAAAATGCAGTAGTAAAAGCCAGCCACTGTTAGTGGCATTTTATCGAACGTCTGACATACATAAATATCAGTACAAGCAAAACAAAGATACCCAATCAAACTTAGATCTAGGACACACAAAATCAAAGAGAAAGGAATTGAGAGGAACATAGAGAGAGTAAACTGCAAGAAAAAGGACAAGAGGTGAAGTAAAGCAAACCCACAATAAGGTGTCAAATTTGTTCTGGCCATCAAAGTCGTAAAAGCCAATAAGAAGCTCAAGATCTGCTACGGAAGAAAAAGAAGTCTCATGTCATATTGCACCCTCCTCCATTGTTAACCTGCCATTGTTGTCACTCATGGCTACCAGTCAAGCCCTCAACAACGTTATTTTTGTATCAAAATCTCTAAATTTTTTTCCAGATTGTCTACTGGTGTATCCCGCAAGATAAAGGTTTCTGGCCGATATTACCCGGAATGACCGAAACTGTCTGGTACAGGCCGAGAACATAGCCAATACGGAGTTAGAGTAGCTGTGTCCCGTTTTTCTTCCTGAACTGCACATTTCAGGCGGTACCCTCTGGTACGGAATGGTATTAACAACACTGATGGAGACAGAAAAAAGTAGCCTGGAAAATGATTAGAGAATGAATTGTATGGTGTAATTCAAATTTAGTATGAGGTGGGCCTCAACCGGAATGAATTTAGCCCACACACTTCACTTTCTGGTCACTTTTTGGGCATTTAATTTAATTTTTTATTTTTTATTTTTTTTTTTGTGGCTCCATGGCATTGTTGATAAAAAATAACATCTATGCATGCCTTTTGACCATTACTTTCAAATTCACTTCTTATTTCTAGTTAGAGCCTCTTACAACTTTGAACTTCTTTATACATTGTCTTTCCAAATTCTGCTGGTTTAAGTTGTGAGACATTAAGTTCTTCACATGAAAAGTTATTCAGTGTTTCTTGCCCAGATCATTCCGTCATATGTTCCTTTACCATGATTTCTTATGTTCATACACATAAAAGGTTCACTACGTTATGGGAAGTTTTCCTAATATTGTTGCTTTGTCAGATAAACGAACGTGATCAGATTGTCATGCTTGCTATTGATCTTTCCGTTCATGAAAGCCATCAACCACGTTTTCCTCCTTTAAATGTGATTATTGAAGTGGGATTCATGCAAGTTTAAATTTGTTTGCATCTGAAACATTGTTTGTTTTTGAGTTCGGGTAATCTAATTCTTTAGAAACATAAAAATATAAATGAAACAGATTTTGCAATAATAGATTGTGCTACTGCAAGATCAACCACATTTATATGTTTTAGTTGGGTTTAAATAGGTTTTGTTAAAAGTATTGTTGCCTATTTAGTAGTCCAAGTAAATTAGAAGTTCTCTCAAGCCAAGAAGTACATAAGCTTCTTGGGAGGAAGCGTGTCGTGTCCGACTGACACTCTCCATACACTCCTAAAAGTGTGTTTGCCACTTCTATAGCGTGTTTTCCACTCACTACAGGAAAAAAGGGTTATGGTGACGTTTTTTTAACGACGTTTTTTAAACGTCACTGTTATTAACATTTAACGGCGTTTAAAAAATGCCGCATATTCTTTTAACCAAAAACGACACCGTTTTATAATAGGAGGCGTTGAAAAACGCCTCCGAATGCGGTATACCGCACGCGCCTTTTCAATCCATATTTTGTATCTGGGGCCCCTCTCTCAACCCATACGCATGCATCATTTGGAATGAAGATTTTTTGAAACATGATGAACTTATGGACCTTGCTGGGAGAGATTTATTTTCTGATTTGAAAGTCTTCAAAGAAGTTTTGCCAAAATAAATCAATCGGCCAATTGAAGTGATGAATTATTTGAAATTCATGGATGGTTGTTTTCCAAATGCCTAGATTGTGTATAGAATATTGTTGACTATTCCAGTTACCGTTGCCTCCGGAGAAAGAAGTTTTTCAAAGTTGAAATTGATCAAATCCTACCTTCGATCAATAATGTCACGGGAAAGATTAAATGGATTAACTATATTGTCTATTGAAAAGGATTTGGTAGATAAATTAGATTATACAAACTTAATTAGTGATCTTGCAGCTAAAAATGCAAGAAGAGTAGTATTTAAGTGATAATTGGTTCAATTGTAAGTTAGATATTGCTAAACTATAAAGCAATAAAACTAGTTTTTAATATTTTTCTGTCATTGTACTGATTTCTTCCTATCTTAATATATGAAAATAAATTTTAGTTTTAATTTTAATGATTATTTATGCAGGTAAACTTAAATAAAAATTTTGTTGATACTTATCATTTTACGCGTAAATTTTTTTATTAAAAATATACACACACACACTACAACATATAAGACTTTTGGCGACCAATTATTTTGGTCCCTAAAACCATTATGTTGGTCTCTAAATAGTTTTTGTGACAAAATTAAATTCGTCACTAAAAAAGTCACTAAAAGTGCGTCTAGAAAAGTCTTTAGCGACGAGTTTTTGAAAATGTCACTAAAAATGACAATTAGCGACCAATTTTATATTGTCACAAAATGTTTGACTTTGCAAAACTAAAATATTTTGTCACTAATACTTTGTCACAAAATGTCTCAATTTGGTCGCAAAAAGCAAAATAGTGACCTTTTTAACAACAAATATATTTGGTCGCTAAAGGTTCGAAATAACATTTTGAAAACATTCAATTTCATAGCTACAAATTGACATCCACTGCCCAAATCTATCACTGTATATAGGAAAAAAAAAAAAAAAAAAAGAAAGAAAGAAAGAAAGAAAGATAAAAAAAACTCACAAGATCAAATCTATTCATGTATATACAAAAAACAAATTACAAAAATCAAAACTTTAAGTATCCAAATTCACTTCAACATAGTTCATTATATGAGTTAAATCCCAAAATAAGATCAAAATAGTTCAACATTGTATGAGTTAGAACTCTATGACGACTTCAACTTTGTCTTTCTCTCGTACCCACCTCTTCACAAGTTCAGTTACAAGAGCAACATGCCCTAGTTGTTCCACGATCACAAAAGCTTATCACCGTCTATAGCCATAGAGAAAGGATGAAAATCCTGCACACATGATAATAATCAGAAGTGTAAACAAAGTTCAAAAATGTAAAAGAGATGTATATGAAATCCAAAATTGGATATCAACCTTGAAGCACTTAACTAAGGCATTTGAAGCAAACTAGACACACGAAAAATACCTTAACTTTCTCCTCATCATTAGTGTTCATAATATATGCCATATACCTAGGACATAGAATAAACATGATCACGAGGCGCAATTAAATAAAATAAGGGACCATCCATCTCATAATCATTAGATATTCAAATGCTAGAAATGACATATTCTGAATAATGATCATCATCTGTCCAGAAAAATACAATAAAGTCAATTAAAAAATAAGATAAAAGCTGTGATATCCAACACTGATGAAAATTCTCAAACAAGATTAAGGTCTATACTCTATAAAAGGAGCCTGTAATTTATTCATCATTCTGAACAAATAGGATTTTGGAGTTAGTTAACTAAATCTCACATACTAACTTGGGGAAGGTAACAAATAAAAAAAATGGGAATAGACATCATGGAGTAGAACTAGGCAAAACCCCTTATGCATAACAACAAATGTTAACAGAGCCATGAATGAATGTTAACAGAAAGCTTATCTAAGATGTGAAAGAGAGGATCAGAAGAAAAAGTAACTACCTTGAAAGCTCTAGCATGCAAAGTGAGTGTATGTGCAATTTGCTTATTCTACTCCAGGTTAGAATGAAGACGTTCACTCAATTCTTCACAAAGTTCATTAAGTCAGTGTTCAACCTGAAACAGAGTAACAGATAAAGAATGACCAAACCATCATCATAAAATATCTCCAAAGAATTTTTTATGAATGAAGACATGGCATTACTAGCACTTTGATATAAACAAATCAAATCCCAATAAAAGGTGATCGCCAAGGCCTAATTTTGGACATGCAGATGCCACAGTAATTTTGAATAATAAAACTATGAAAAATAAACATTTTTTATGAATAAAGATAATAAAGATAATTATATAAAAAAAGACATCAAGGGGGGTGCATCCCATATAAAAAACTACAAAAAATAAACGTGATACATCTTAATAAGCTAATGTAGAGTTCTGATAGAGTACTTTACTTACCAAATAAAAACCAGCTTTTTGAATGTTTGATGGCACTTGCAACCTAAGAAAAGAATAACCTAAAATTGATTACTTAGAGGGAGTGGATTACCTTTTTGGCTAATTTAGCATGTTCCCGAACATAGCCTTAATGTTCTAGTTTAGTTGCTGAGGAAAGAAAAAACAGTCATGCTTAAAAATTTTAGATAAGCTTCACAATTGTGATGCAATAGAATAGAAGGACTGAACTGAAGTAAAGGTAATACAAAATTAAATTCATATATATTTTTTTATACTTCATTTTCAGCATCCAACATAGGGAAAATGAAAAGAAAATCACACAAAATTGAAAAATTTGTAAAATTAACCTATGGATTGATCTTAATGGCACCTTGCGATTATCTTGCCGAAGCTGAGGCAAGAGAGAGCATTGTCGAAGCCATCTGAATCAGTCAAGACGATGAAACGATAAGATCAATTTGAAACACTTAAAATTAGTAAAAAAAATCAAGCAGTGATCTTCAAGAGAAGTAAAACTTTGTTGAGTCTAAATTCGAACTGGTAATCAATGCAAGAAAAAACAAGAGTAAGAACACAAACAAACCTCAGAAAAGTAATGAAGTTGTGTTCAGATCTAGAAACAAAACAACCAAAAACAGAAAACCAACCTTGCCTTTCAAAGAAAATTGATAATTCGAACAAAAATGAACTAATCACTATTTTTGGTTTTTGGGTTGATAATTCGAACAAAAACGGCATAATATTTTCTTTCCTATACATACCTTCTCAATCATTTATCAGTAATCTCACAGGGTCCAAAGCTCCATTTCAGCTACTGGACAGAAATCGGTAATAAACCTGCAATTGCAAAATTGAAATATCAACTCATATGAAGGAAATAAATACCGGAGAAAGAATAATTAAATCTTATACCTCCACACATACCTACAAAATACAAAATTGGGTTGACTTTCAAGCGCTGCCAGATAAAAAGTGTACAGAGAACAGGGCACGTAATTCTCCTACAATCCTTATTGCAGCAGCGTGAGATCTAAGGGCAGAGAGGATTTGAATTGAAATAATACAGTAGATAACCATTGGGGTTAGACTTCCCCCTCCCCTCCAAGGGCTGTCATTTGAAGTCATAACCATTCACGGATTTCAACTAATACTAAAAATTTGGACATCTCCAATGGTCAGCATGCTTACAAAATATGAATGGAAGATAAACCGGTAAAGGCATCACTTCTCTATGATTAAAAAGAAGACATTCTAGTGCAAATATTATTATAGATTGAGAATTGACAGAGTAAAAAACTAATAAGCTAATACTAAAAATCTGTATCTGTGTGTGTGTGTGTATATATAGATTGAGAATTGACGGAGTAAAAAACCAGTAAGCTAAAGAATAAAAATTAACAAACATGTACAGAGCATTGCACAGGGGTTTGCATAATAATTAATCAGCATATCAACCTATATATTTATATATAAAACAATTTGTACCAAACAGTTTATATGATGAAGAGGCCATATCACTAAGGACTTGAAATCTGATTTCTACCTTATTCAATAATGTGCAATTGTGCATTTTCACGTCATAAAATGATTTGACATTATCTAATAGATGTTCCCTTCTTATTCAACAAAAGTTGGATATAGATAGGATGACTAAACTCACCCCATGAAAATAGTTGAGATAATAATCACTACATGTGCCTTAACTGCTTTCTTCCAGCCTACAATGGAGAATCAAACTTCAACTCGTTGTGCTCCATGGACTAAAAGAATGATGGTGTAGATGCTTTCCTATCGCTCACTTTAAACTAGAAGAATGATGATGTACATGTATATATATTGTGTCTGTGGAGAGAGAGAGAGATTGAAAACACACCAAATCGCTGTTGAATCCAAATTACTACGATCTCTGTTAGAAACCAAATCCATTTACTCAAACTTATATATATCTGCAAAAAAAATTGAAGAAGATGAAGAAAAAATTATATAAGATCTCAGAATTTGTGTATATGTATATGTGTGTGTGTGTGAAGCTAAAAAAAATGATAGAAAATCTCAGAAAATTATGCATCAAGATCAAGATCTCAGCAGCCAAGAAAATCATTGATTTACCTTTCGATTGAAGCCAAAGAACTCAGATCTTCAACGATCGATTCGGATTGAAGCTGAGATCTTAATCGATTCGGATTAAAGTTACAATAGGTAAGATCGATTGAAGTTGAGATCAGTACAAAGATGGATTCCGATTGAAGTAAAGATCGATTCGGATATGAGGCGGCACAAAGATCGATTCAGATTGAAGCTAAAGATCTATCGAAGTTGAAGATCGATTGAGTCCTAGACAGAGTAAACAGCTGAGATCGATTAAGTCCTAGTGAAGATCGATTCTTATATCGCGTATTTGACAACCTTTAGCAACCAAACTAATTCGTCTCCAACTTTTACCCACCTCAAACACGCGGGTCAAGTGTCTAAGTGAACATACGTGTTAATTTTTTTGGTCCCTAAAAGTCACTAAATAATTTTTTTTGGCCTATCATAAAGAAATGAGGCGTATTCTTATAATTTTCTTTTAAAATTTGTTTTTGTCCCTAAATGATGGTTTTTAGAGACTAAATTCAATTAGTCTCTAAATATTAGTCACTAAATCACTATTTTCTTGTAGTGGGCCCTTAGAACCTTTTGAATCTGAACCTTTTGAACCTTATCCATGTAAGTTTGAATTTGAATTCAAAACTTATTTGAATAACCATTCAGGATATCTATATCTATCATATCAATAGATATGGATAGATGGATAGATAGATATTGGTTATATATCAGATTATATGGTTAATCTAAAGATATACGTATATCAGATATACGTTATGTGATTTTTACCCATAACATTTTTTCCCAGACTCTCTCTCTGACTCTCTCCCAGAAAACAACGATCAAGCCATTTTGCACTGTGACTTGTGTGGGTGATACTCATTTTGTAGTATCACTCTACTGATGGGTTCGTTGACTGATCAGATTTTGGAAGAACGTGATTTACCCATGAGGTTGTGTCATTAAGGTATGATCCGAATTATTTTTATCTGCTGTGTTAATTTATAATGTTTTATGATTTACATTGGTATCAAAGACTATATGGGTTTTTTCGTGCTTATTTTTTATGCATTAAAATATGTGTATTTTTTTATATAAATATATACACATTATATGCATGAAAATTAATGGAGAAGGAAGATGAAGTGCACAGTTTTTTGCACTTCAACTCTCATTGATTGAGAATGTGATACATTTCATTTTTATGTTCATTAAATGCTATTTTTAATGCCATAAATATTTTTATTGTGAAAAATGGGGTCCGGCAGTACAAAAATCGAACCAGAAAACACCCTGGAAGGCGGAACGTGGGCCTCATGCGCCACCTGACGCCGTGGGAGGCTTCCACGCGCCTCCACGCACTGTCACGCGCTCTCACGCCCCTCCGCGCGCTCTCACGCGCCTCCACGCGCTCGCTGTTTCGCGCTTTCCACGCGCTCGCCCTCCGCGCCACACACGCGCGCCGCGTGCTGAGCCGCGCGCCAAGCCGCGCCGTTTTTCCTCCGCCGGCTTGGCTGCTGATGTAAGAGTCTGTTTGTTTTGTTTTTAAATTCAGAATTACGTTAAGTGGTCATAATTAATTCGTTATAGCTTTGTTTTAAGCGTGGTTAGCACCGTTGGACTCAGAATTATATTTTCTATCTTTTGTAAAATTTTGAAAATTTTATGAAAATAAAAAGTATTTTTCCTGTGATTACAATTCATTATTTATGCTTTAAAATGCTTCTGGTATTGCATAAATTATTTTCTGGGGTTGACTTTTTTATTGTAGACTTCTGAAATGTTTTTCTATTTACTAGAATAATTTTTTGAGTTTATCAAATTCTGAAATTTTTTATTTCTAATTTAATGTGTGTTTATTAGTTATTTAGAATTCCAGAAAATTTGAAAAATTCCAGAAAATTTCAGAAGTGATACAGTTTCTGTTATGGCATAATTTGAATATTAAATACAACATATTATTTTTTTTTAGGGTTTGTAATATGTTGTGATTAGAATAGCATGATTAATTATTTTTTATTTTAATTCCGTTATTAAATGTAACATAGCATGTATTGATTGTGAATCTACATTATGATGCTATTGTATGGAATTAGAATTTTTTATCATGCTTTTAGACATGTCATAGTCAGTGGGAGGTTATTCGATTGAGAGAAATCTTTGTAGATTGACTCCCGAAAACCAATATTTTGCGCATAAATTAAATTAAATTTTGGATAATTGTCACTTGTGGTGCAAGAGATGATTACGAGCATAGTGGATTTTCGATCTTGCGACTTGTGTAATATTGTCACTATTTAATTTAGATTTTTGTGGCAAAATTATATTATGCTAATCAAATTAATCCCAATGCGAATTTCTCTCTAAATTGACTTAGCTTATGGAAGTTAATTGGTTGACCTAGACTTAGTAAAGATGTTCAAATATGAACAATGTAATCCCATTCTTTAGATGAGAAAAAGTCTTGGAGACATTAGGTCAAGTCTTAATTGAGCCAAAGTAAGAAAACATGACTCAAAGTCACCGTGGTTTTGTTGCCTTGTTTGGCATAATAAAGACTAATGTGTGCGCTATGGTTAGCGGCATGCTACGTAGTTTTGGTTGGCGAGTTTTGGAGTTATGAAACTACTAAGTCCTCAATAGATCTGTATATGATCTTGACTATTGAGCTGCGCGGATTGACTTTGTAATTTGACTTGTAAATAATGTTACATCATTGGATGAAGTAACATTCAAGAGTCACATCATCCAAGAAATGCGAGCTTAAATAAATTAGTCATTAAGTGTAAGACGAGTAGCCAGTATGAGCAGTGTTTTGCTCTCTACCCAATTATTGGGAGTGGATGGAGCAAAATTTCATGTGCGTTGAAATATCACGTGAAGTGAAAAGATTAGCGCTTAGTGGCTGCAAAATCTATTAACACTAAGTGAAAAGATTTGCGCTTAGAAGCTGCAAAATCTATTAACATTATGTGAAAAGATTAGCACTTAGAAGCTGCAAAATCTATTAACACTAAGTGAAAAGATTAGCGCTTAGTGGCTGCAAAATCTATTAGCATTGCCAACTTGTCTAAGTCTGGACACTTACTGCTTCCACACTTGAGTGTGAGACATGAGGAGGAGCTTTTTTGTATGATTCCTTAGCTAGGCTAACGTTTTTTAATGACGTTTACCACTAAGCGCAAACGTTGCCGCATAATAATGAAAAGGTCAAGGCTGACAAGGTTGTTATGACTCTAAGAATTTGACGCATGGCTCGTGAGAGTATTGTGTTGAATTAGACTCTTTAGTCTAATTTGCGCTTAAGTTACTTCAGGAGCTGTCATAGTTGATAGCTTATTCTCTCCTTCTTGTGGATAGTAGAATTAATTGCAAGTAACTATGAAGCGAGAAATAGATATGGCAAGAGGAGTATCGTCATCTTTCAACTAGATACAGTAAAGTGTATGGAGAATAAAATTGACTTGAAGGTGCAGGGGATTAGCACTTACTAGTTAAATTTGCGACTTATGCATACTTGATATCTCCGTGACATCCTTTTATGATCTAGTGAATATGAATTAGTCTTGAGTCATTACCTAGTTGGACCTAAACCTTTAAAACTTGTCTTCGAAAACTCACACATTAAGATGATTGGAATTAGTTTATAACATTGGTCATGAACCAGTGGCTTATTATACTTAATCACATTAATGAGATGATGACACGATGGTTTGAGTAGGCCTTCTCGGGCCCACTCGCTTATGACATCCTGCTCTCATGTGAATGTGTAACTTTGTTCGCAATGGGTGCGCACAAGTAAGTAGGAAAACCGTAGAAGGTCATTTGTTTTGACGCATTTAGTCCACTAGGATATTTGTGACTAGATATGTGTAAGGGTATGATAGCTAAGTCTCAATCTCGACACATTTATAGATTACGATACGCGTCTGAGTCAAAACTATTTGATCTCCCATAAGTCAAAAGTTTTGAGATGATTTTTGACATAACACATATGAGGTTAAGATCAATGAGATGATAGCTTTCGTGCCTTTAGTTTTGACCAAGGTGGCGAGTATCTATTTGAGTTATTTTAGAAAACTCTGTGAAGAGAGATAGATGCTTAGAAAATTGATTATTCCTAGTACTCAACAACACAATGGTGTAGTAGAGATAAGGAATTAAATATTGTTAATGTTAGGTGGATAATGGCGCAAAATGTTTCCCAATTGGGAATTGCACTAGTTTGTTGCCTATATCCCTAACTAAGTGCCCTCCATATCAAATTTTGCACTCCATTTGAGTAATGGGTTAGCGGAGAGCCATCTATGGGCGATCTGTAACCGTTAAGCAGCTTATCTTTATTTTACTTCTCATAAGATTGCGAAGTTAAGACCTAGGGTTCTATACCGCATTATTGTATGCTGTGTTGTAAACACAAAGGGTCGTGTGGCGCATTATTGTATGTGGTCATGTAAACCCTCCGGGTCATGTGCATATAGGTAAGCAGCTTTGTGGTAGTGTAACTAAGTCACATAAAGTTTTATTAGTAAAGGTGACGTGAATAGAGTTTTTTGGAACTCTATAAGATAGAGAATTCTAAGCATAGCGCTCTATGTAGCCTAGTTGAGAATAGAAAGAAATTTCCAATATCCTAGGGACAGTGGGAGCGATGTGCCTACTAATGGATTACACCATTAGAGAAGAATACTCTACATTCTTAGTTGCATTGTAGCGAATGTGAAAATTTTCCACGTCATCACTGGGTAATTGAGAGGGAAACATTCATGATTGCCCCGCAAGATGATAAAGAGCCAAGGATAATGCCTAAGGCTCTAGTCCCCTATTTTAAAAAAGTGGATCAATGTTGCGCAGTTTAAGACAAAGTCTTTGAGGATTAACCATTTCTATAATTTGGTTGACTTTCCATTATGACGCAAAACTGTTATAAAGTTATGCGTAATTTGGATAGTCATTGTTGAGGCATAAGGCTCGCTAGATACCGAAAAGTCGCACCATTGAGGAAAGTGTAGACCATGAGAAGACTTCCTCCTGGGGAGTGAGGTTATTTTGACTTAGGCTATGATTGACATAAGTTCGGAACATTGATTTGTGGACATTGTGACCCAACTTTCTCTGTAGAGAATTGGATAAGTAGATCCGTAGGGATTTACCTTCTGCTTTTATGGTGAAAAGTTAGGAGCGCAAAAAAGGTTGCTAGTTCCAATAAATCTTTTACAGCCTAAAACAGTTATCCAAAGAGTGGTTCTAGATTTCGTCAAGCCATGATTAGGCCAACGATGATCGATGAAGACCACTGATGCATGATCAATGGTCCAAAAAGAAGTTTTTCCTTACTTAGTCATTATGAGCCAGGAATTTATAAGGTTGTCGCCACCTAGGGTGGCCAGTCCTCTATTTTAGATATGATGGACATGGGTGATGTAATTTATATG